ACTATTCATCCTATTCCGCAGCTAATGTATTTGTTGAATCAAAGCTTAAACCTTTACCTATCTCCACTGTTCCTCCACCCCCTCGCTTTGCCTACCTGGTTTCAGGTTCTGCCGGCGATGGCAACATGCTGAAGCGAACCCTTCAAGCTCTTTATCACCCAAACAATCAGTATGTAGTGCATCTCGATGCTGAATCTTCACCTGAGGAGCGTCTCGATCTGCATAACTTTGTTACCAATCACCCAATTTTTATCCAATTCAAGAATGTTCGGATGATTACTAAAGCTAATCTGGTGACCTACCGGGGTCCTACTATGGTTGCTAATACCCTTCACGCCGCTGCTATTTTGCTCAAGGAAGCTGGGGAATGGGATTGGTTCATTAATCTCAGCGCCTCTGATTACCCACTTGTTACTCAAGATGGTAAAGCCATTTTCTTGTAGATTAGTTTAATTTTGATTTCACCTGGTATAGCTACTGCACCTTTGATTAAATGGGGTTTATTGAGGATGTTGATTTGTTTTTTTTCTTGTTTGATTAGATCTGCTTCATACATTTTCGTATTTTCCCCGGGATCTTAACTTCATTGATCATACAAGCAAAATTGGATGGAAAGAGTAAGTTATTCTATCTGCACCACAAAAGAAATGCTTTCGTAATTCTAATTTTGGTTCAGAATTAAGGGTTTAATTATGTGAGTTAAACTTGACTCCTGATTTTGAAGGTTCCAAAGGGCAAAGCCAATTATCGTTGATCCGGGATTGTATGCGACTAAAAAGGCAGATGTTTTCTGGATTACACAGAGAAGAAGTGTGCCAACAGCTTTTAAGCTTTTTACTGGTGAGGTTTGGCATCATTTATGCTTGGGCTCAAGGATTTGAACTTTTCCTTTTAGCACATGTTATATGCTTTATATGTGATAGTGTGTTAATCATTGCCCTATCACAAATCTGAATTGATCCAAAATGTTTGGTTGGTCACATAAAAAGTTCAATAATGTGAAGAATAAATGCCGGAGAACATAAAGTACTTTCCCTGTCCTCATGTATCTCGATTGCCTATCATATACCAGATGGGGGCTTGACTTTGGTGCCATCCACCTTGTAACCTGAATTAGAACTTGCAGGAATGGTTGTTATATCACCTATTGGCGAAGACCAGGGACAAAAAATTCTGTATAAGATGCTTAAGATTTACTAATTCATGATAAATTGACACTTTCTTTTTAAGGGAATTTCGACTTTGGCTTTTTCTTTTCCAAACGGATTGTGTGTGCTTTACTGGAACTTGAAAAGTAGCTTGCACTATGCTTTAGTACAACATAATTTGGTTAATTGAATTGGAAGAGGTCATACATCACAAGTACAGACTAATTTTTTGTACAGTTTAAAGAGGATTTCTCATTTATATAACTAATAAAGCTCAAGATAGGAAAATAAAATGTAGGAGGAAGAAATCTTTGCATAGTGAAAATACTTTATAACATTATGCATGTTCCTATGCCAATTGACAACATATCAACACAGGGTAATAATTGGGATTTTAGTATATGGAAGCACTGGCTATCAGAGCAATTCACCTGGTGTATTAACTTAGATGGTCCATTGTACTGAGCAGTCGTTGAAGTATTTGAGCTGTGTGATAGTTGACACTGATAAAAGGAATCCATAACAGACCCATTGGAGGATTGGGGTATCCTGTTCCAAATTCTCATGAATTATGATACAGGTTTCATGAAGGAAGTGGTGTTTGATTTTTGTAGCAACTGCACTTGTCATTGGGGTGGATGGTAAAGGTTCCCCAATCAGTGTGGATTCAGAATTTGTTAACTACCTTGTAGAAAGTATTTACATGGCTGAAGATTTTAAGAGTTCCCAAAAATCATGGATTCAGGATTCCTCGACTACATTGTTGAAAGTTTAGCTTGCCTGAGCTTCAGATATCCCCGAACTTGAGTAGTATGTTTGTTTTCGGACATATCTAATGGAGACCTTTACCAACAATCACCTTCATGTGGATGAAATGGAGGTGAAGTTTGATGTCGTTCTGCCTACATTGTTCTGTTTGCTAGTAGGAATCATGTTCTGTTCGTACAGCTTGATGGACTGTTTCAATCAAGAAATTGTGTTTACTAGGACAAATGTTTTTGCCGAGAGAGACTGTCTAGGATCATATTTTCATGATTTTAAACTCATTATTGAAAGCTATTTCTGTATTGAATACTAATTCATTTTAATGAAGCCGACAGAGGGGAAAATAAAGGGTACGGATCGGTACATAGGGTGGGTATGGCTAATGAATTCGCTTAAAGGGTATAGATACACTGTCCATTTTCTCTCTTGCTGCAGTCGATGAATATAATTTAGATCTCATGGTTTAAAGATCATGAGACTTTTAAATCTCGTTCTTTATTGCCAGTATAAAATAGAAGCAGCTCGCGTTTCAGTTTATCATGACTTTCTGAAAGCTACTTTAGGGAAGGTTAAGGAAATATATCCTTTTCGACTTCCTGAAGAAGCAGTATTCAAGGGCAACATTTTAACATGGGGAAATATTGCTTCATTTATTCCCCATCTAGTTTAAATAGTTTTGTAAAAAAGAAAGCTTAAACAAATTTGTGTATCAACTTTTATTAATAGTAATATAACTGTTGCTGATTGAAATTCCACATACTAGATATGAAACATTGTTCTTGTTGCTCTCTTTACAGGGTCTGCTTGGATGGTCCTTTCTCGCTCTTTCATTGACTTCTGCATATGGGGATGGGACAACTTGCCCAGGACTGTTCTTATGTACTACGCAAATTTCATCTCCTCTCCAGAAGGCTATTTCCATACTGTCATCTGTAACGCTCAGGAGTTCCGCAATACCACAGTAAACAGTGATCTTCACTACATATCATGGGATAACCCTCCAAAGCAGCACCCTCATTACCTTACAGTTGAAGACATGCAAAAGATGGTCGACAGTAATGCTCCTTTTGCTAGAAAGTTCCATAGGGAGGATCCCGTGCTAGACAAAATTGACTCTGACCTCCTATTTCGAGGTAAAGACAGGCTTGTTCCTGGTGGGTGGTGCATTGGAAGTCGGAAGAATGGGACAGATCCTTGCTCTGTCGCAGGTAATATCACTGCCCTCAAACCCACTTCAGGGGCAAAGAGGTTGGAGAAGTTGATAGGATCTCTTTTGTCAAATGATAACTTCCGACCCAAACAGTGCATATAGCAAAAAAACATGCCTTAGAAAGTTGTTTTTCTTAAATTTATAGTCTTCAGAGGAAAGCAAGGAACATCTGAATGTATCCAACCTGCATTAATGTTGTTTTCTGCAGAAAAGAAAAAAATATAGAGTATGCTCCAGTTGCACAAGGGCATGTGTATCTGTTCTTTGTTTCCTCACTCTATGAATCAGGTTGCCCTGCATTAACGAAGGGTGCGATGCCCTCATTCTGAACTTGTCACTTATTAGGATGGAGCATTTTGACAACATGAGACCCTCGGAGGAGAGAAATGTATCAGGTTTCGTTTCCGCTTCACATGTGAAACTACTGTGTAGTGTGATATTTTCCTTTTGTTATAGGTTGTAGAACAAGATTAATTGGAGTCTCTTTTATGAGGTTTGCACATGATTTAATCCGGTAAAAAATTATCATCTATTTTATACTTGAGCTGCAGAGTCATCTTCATTATTGTCATTTTATACTATTCCGGTTGTTGTGTCGTGTAGAGATTCTGTCATTGCCTGCATGCCAAAAATGTCTTAGCTTCTTCATTAGGACCAACAAGTTGTGTCATTGTGGAGAACTTAGTTACTTTGATGGAGCCAATGGGCGATCAAGAAGACCCATGGCCCAGTCTGGTTACCTTTTTTGCAATTTGGGTGAGTGTCCACCTAAGGGGTCCCAAATGGTCTAGCTTACATCATAATTTGTGGGAATGAGGGCTGTCACAAATATTGGCAAGAAACCCAGTAAAGGCAATATGGCTAGTGGTATCGATGTGTGTGTTAATTTCTCACCGTCTCCTTTTTCTCCCTTTACCTTTCATCTTGTGTAGTAGAATGAAAAAAAAAAAACTTTAAAAAGTTAATGTGGTTATCCCCATAGAATCCATAAATGTTTATTTATGTATTGTAGTTGGAGACTTTCCACAAGTATAGAGTAGATATAGTTTTATTAACTTTTAAGGCAACCATACTTGATTAATAAACGTAAACCAACTGGATGGTCGATGAAAGAAGTTGACAGAGTGTGGGAGCTAACAAAAAAGTCCAGCACATATATAGTCACCAAATTGTTTATTAAAATGTTGGGTGGACCAACAGGATCTTTATATAGATATATTAGGATTTGGTATATTGAGCTAACTATTTAGGTGAGTTGTCTATATTAACAAACAAGCATGTGGACCAGATCTCTCCTATTTTTATAAAATATAATGTGCACAATCAACGTCTGATTGGCAGATTAACGAACAACCATAAAGAAACTAAGGACTTAAAACTAATAATCGAGCTACAAGTAATTCTTAAATGAATTCATTAGTCATACCAACCCTATGTACCAATCCGTACCCTTTATTTTTCTCTCTGCCGTCTTCACTAAAATAGATTAGTATTGATCAATACAGAAATTGCTGTCAATAATCATCTTAAAATCATGAAAAGATCACATCTCATGCATGCCATAAGTAAAAATATTTAAAAAGACTATATAATTAAAGAAAATATACTTTGACTAATCAAATAATAACTAAAGACAATAAAGTGAAACAGAGAAAGTAAGTTCTTTTTAGTTATTAAAGAAAAAATTTAAGTTAGAATACAAATTCATGACAATATAAAACGAGAACTACAAATGCACTTACATAATGAAGAGTTACAGAACTACAGATAATGAAGGGGCTAGAAAGAACTGAATGAATCCTGACCTAAATGATGATGTTCTTCTCGTATATTGAGTAGATGATTGATGTATGATGCAATAGAAATTGTGGGCATCGTGTCGAAAGACAGAGGCACTTAATTGGTTCCATTTAGGCATTTTACCAATTAAAAGGAATGCTAAGTGCCATCTCTCCTGCGACAAGATCCCCTCAATCTCTCCTATTTGAGTAAATAATGAATTATGATAGAATACACAAAGCCTTTCATTTCCAAGGTTATTTATAGAACCAAATTAAGTACATTATACAAATAACTTAGGTTGTGTGAGAAAAGCAATAACCAAGTCAATGCCACAAGGTTGAATGAGTAGTGATTGAAGCATGTGAGAAGAGAGTCAAATAGTCTTTAGTCTATGCATGTGTCATGTGGACACATTTGAATAGTTCTACCAATTTTCTTACTTAAGACCAAAAGACTTTGACTTCATCATCATTCCTCCTTTAATCTCATCTTAATTTCTTCATGTCTTTTCTTGGATTGTGACTTATACTGGGGGGAAGTCCAACATATATATAGTAGTTAGAATAGAAACTATTGACAAACGCTAATATTTTCAACTAGTGAATAACTATTGTTGGACAAAGGAAGTCAGCCGTACTAAATTGATTGTAATATTTTATTTTCCAAAAGTCAATTAGTTAAATTTTGAAACTAAATTAAATATGATCAACACAATATTTAAAAATTAAAATTAATATATTTAAACACTATATAAAATATACTAATACAAGTTATATTTTTTTCATGTCAATATGATAATAAACTATATTCTAAAATAATGGTCAAAGTCAATAAAATTTGACTGGCAAAAGTATATTATATAACAATTAGTTTGAGACAGTATTCAATATTCATAGAAAATAATAATTTCAGAGCACGGCCAATCTTTAAAAGAAAAAAAAGCCAAAATAAGTAGGCAATGTTGTTGGGCGAAATTACATTTCACTAATGATCTAATATTCTAATTTCGCTTTAGAGAATTTTTCCCTTTTCGGTATAAATTGTGTAATTTCTAATTCACAATATATAAGTTTAGAAAAATTCTATTTTATCTAATAAGTTTTTTGTAGGAATAATTTTGTGGGTTTTAAAACTGAACTTATGCCTAATAATATCTGAGTTATAAGTTTCTTCAACCATAATGTTCTGAAAATCAGGCATAATTTGGGTGTTCACAAATTTTGTCTTGTGATTTTTTTTTGTTTGGTAAGACATAACTTGTATCTTGTAAATTTTGCTCTTTTTTTCTTTTTAATGTTAGAGCGAGGTATTTTTAGTCATTTTCTTATTACTTAAAATGCTAAAAAAAAATTAAAAAATTAAAAAATAAAAACCACGACAAATATTAAGGACCACCCTAGTATTTAACACTACTTATATAATGCAGCTAGTTCTTATTTAATGGTATTTAACGCTACTTAATCCCACTTAATGTTGTTTAATGTTGCTTATCGCTTTCTATTACTTAACACTAGTAATTTATTTCTACTTAATGATACTCAACACCTCTTCAACCTAACCCTGCATAGTCCTCATTAACGTTACTTAATATTCTTTGTAGTCTATATTAAGTAAATTGTTGATATTTGTTTCATACTTCAAAATAATTGAATTATTCAAAATTCAAGAATTGTTAGAACTTTCTTTCATATCTATCCTTTATTTAATGAAGTTCTTAACTACTTTACATTTTCTTGGAGACTTAATTTGGGTTCTATTAAAAGGATATTAGTGGAAAGTAGTCTTTGATTCACTTAATATGGACTAGAAGGGGTAATATTAATCTTGTATTTATTGTAATGTTCATGCAAATTAATTTTGCTCATGAAAGAAGGGAAAATGGGGAATCTGAGATCTCGGACTCGAGTCTCCCTGGTACCAGGGGCGGCTCTAATAAATCGGTGACCTTAAGCCAAATCCGAATGGAGGCCTTAAATTCAAATATATATTTTTTATGAAGTTTATTATAGCTAATTATTTAATTTTTCTTGAGACATAGTATTCATAATTTGTCGAACTTCTATTACTTCTTTGCTCTTTTATGAAAAGATTTTATTTTCTATAAATAATACTCTATATTTAAAAATAAAATAAAAAATACTTATAACCTTTTTTTATTATTTTAAATGAGGCCCCTCAAATTTTGAGGCCTAAGGCAATTGCTTTTTTTTTCAAAGTTGTTGAGCCGTCTCTGCCTGGTACAAAGTCACCTTTGTTAGGGAGGGGTAAACCCATCAATGTGGAACTTCCCGGTGCAATATGAATTTATTCAGGCTCCAACATTAATACCGAACGCAGGATGAAAAAAAAAAAAAAAAAACTTAAATGCCCCCGAGTAAATTCGTCCGTACTCCTTGTTCCATGCCCTGCTTGGGATTGCAGTGCAGAGATCGATGGCTTACCGAAGGCCCATCAGAGAAGACAAACTAGGCCTTCTCTTCTTGCTTTCCACCCAAGGCCCAATCCTAAGCCCAATGCTTCTCCCTTTTAATTACAGGCCTGCTCTCCACCCAAGGCCCAATCATAAGCCCAATGCTTCTCCCTTTTAAACACAGGCCTGCTCTCCACCCAAGGTCCAATCCTAAGCCCAGTGCCATTATCATCCAAAAGGAACAACACATGTCATAAACTTCAGGGAAAATTACGTTGAATAGCAAACATTTAGCTTATCGGAGGTATACTATAACTATATTTTAAAAAAAATTGTAATTTGCGATTATAGTTTTTTTTGCTATTCACCTAATTTACATAATTCGTTTGATTTATATAATTCGGTTCTTGATTGTATAAATCTAAAATTTTGTAAAGGTTTACCTAGCTATTTGTATACAATTTATGAAAAATTCATAATATATTATCATGTTTGTATATTGACAAGTGAAATATACGTATACATATATATCTTATCAGTTTGGACTTTGGAGGCGAAAGATGTGGCTGATAAGTCAACATATGAAAATATTTTTTTTAATTCATCAGTCATCTAGAAATGAAAAAAAAAGAAGAAAAGTGAAGGTTCTTTTCACACTTTCTTTTAACTACTTTGCAATTATATATCCAAACAAAAGCAAATATATAAAATATACATATAGGATGTTCGAAGAAGTTCACTGGTGATTTTCTTAGGAATAAATCCTCAATAGTCTTGCAAATTATTTGTATCGTTGATTTATCTAAATGTCTTTTGGTCAATTAAAGTCTATGAACCAAAATGGTTTGGCATGTTACAGTTTGAAAGCTACCGCAGGTGGCGATGATGATGATGATGGCGACAGTGGTGGTGATGGTTAGATTTTTCATGGAATTTAAAAAGAAAAAAGAAGAATAGACATTCGAAATTTATAATTTTTAAATTTGTCATAACATTTGCATGGCTATAGAAACTTTTTGTTAAGAGTAAAATGTGACTTTTATAGTTATATACATCCAAATATAAAAATGTTTCATTATTCCTAAAATAAACTACTAAAAAATTAGTATCACATAAATTGAAACACACTAAATAATAATATTAGTAATTGTTTTTGAGTAGACATATAATGAATTAGTCGGTCCCAACTAGATTTCTGCCAGCGAAGCAAAATTCATCAAGTTGTTCTTTTTCTTCTTTTAAAAAATGTTCTGGTTGAAGGTGTAGGGAAAAATTATTCCAATATGAAATTTCGAATAAGATAATTAGGGTTCAGTCGGCCATGTCCAATAAAGAAATCGCTTCATAATATTGTCGTATTTGGTGACAACATACTAAGTAGGGGCGTGCATTATTTGGATTAAATTAAAAAACCAAATCAAATCAAATTGAATTTTAATTTTAATTTTTTTTTGTTTTTTGGTTTGATTTTGAATTAATAATTTATTCTGTTTGGTTTTTTTGTTGGGTTTCAGATTTAGAAAAAAAAATAAAAAAAATCAAATAAATTGATTTTTTTTAATATATAAATTAAATTGGAGTTAACCACTTTTATCCCTTTTTTGTTATTTTCTTTCATTATGATTCAGTTTATATTTTATGTTTGGACATGTATAATTGATATACTTTTAAGTATTGTGTTTTACGTTTTTACTTGTGATTTATATTAGAAAGTATATTTAAGAGATTCAATATTATTACTCCTCCTTGTATGTATGTATTATATTTTTTCAAATTGCAAATATAACTTTGATTATGTTTCTTATTATTGATAAAATCGAATAATCAAACCGAAAAAAATCAAACCAAATTTATTTTGATTTGGATTGAGTTACACTTCTTCAAAATAAAAAACTGAAAAACCCAAATCAAATAGTACAAAATCAAACCGAAAACCAAATGCATACCCCTAATACTAAATGAACTTGCATGCGTTAATTATACGAAAATTTATAGTATTATTTTACATAGGGAAAACTCTTTTAGAACAACAAACATTTAAATTATACTAAATGTTATAGCTACGGTTTAGGGAAGTTCTAATTCGCAACTATAGTTTCACCAATCTTGCTATTCGCCTGATTTGTATAATTCGTATGATTTGTATAAATTCAAAATTAGTATAATTTGGTCCCTGATTGTATAAATCTAGAATTTTGAATATGCTTACTCTAGCTTTTGTATACAATTTATGAAATATTCATAATAAATTATCTTATTAGTATATCAGCAAGCGAAATATACAAATGAAAATTTAAAAGTAATAAGTTGACAAATTTTAAATAAAATATACTTTTTATCATAAAAAATCAATTTTGTCCAATAAAAAAAAATAGTAACACGCAATTTGTTGTAGATAAGTTTTGGAGACCTAAGTCATATGCTTTACTTGCTTTGGCATAGAGTCGGCCCTGACCGACGCCCACTTGAATTTACAATTGAACAAAAGGCGGTAGCTTATGAAGTTTCCAGTCTAGTGCGTTTTGGCTCATATAGCTATTTCTACACGAGTCTCTAGAAACTGACTAGCAATTCTACTTTGTTTCATACCTGAACATTTGGACTATCTTTTGTGGCCTTTCTAGTAAGAGTTGCTTTGTAAAATAATTTTTTTTTTTTTTTTATGATACATAACTATGTCTTTTAATTTAACGTTAATCGATGGTATTTATATTTGTCAATTTTTTCAATTATATATAAGTTTAACTGTCTATTTATATCAGTCTAAA